ACGCAGATATGTACTCTCTTGCTCATCATTCCCACCTGTCATACACACATGCAAATTGGATTGCCTGCGCAACAATTTGCCAACAAGAGATTGCTGCATATTGGACTGAACAAGAATTTTATGTGAGGGCTTGAAAATAAGGCTCTAACCCAAGAATTCTACGGCTTTACTAGTAGGATGGGCAAACAGACATACAAAAATATTCAACAAGTGGCCAGTCCATCTGTTTACCTTTCTCTCAGCCAATCAGGACTCCACAGAGAGGTGTCCAGCCAGTAAGATCACTCCAGATCTGATTGGCTAGAACAGGTTGACAGGCCAAAGCCCTTGATGGCAGTCCTAAACTGGAACAGCTTAGACTGGGCTCTGTGGCTGACACCTACCCACCATCAGACCTATTACCTATCAACTATGGCATGGATTAGAAGAGTGTGTCTGTGTGTGTGGGGGAAGAGAGAAAGACAGGGGCAGGGCTGGGTGTATCTGTGTGTAGGTTTTGGGAAAGTTCGACAGCAGGAGGGAAGATGGAGGAGAGGATACACTACGGGGGAAGTAGGCTGTTATGTAAAAAGATGTAACCTGCCTGTGTGATTTAGGGTGTGGCAGTCGCAAGGTGAATCTGGACTGTAATATCAGAAGAATCCCAAGTATTGGCTCTGTTTCACTAGGAAGCTTTGTTATTGCAGCATAAATTTCAACATATTCCTTCATATTAAACAGTATCAGAAACACCTCTCAGCATTCATAAATGTGGTCTGTGTTTATGGGGTCATACTCATGACATGACAACTCCCACACATGACAAAGCACAGTAGGGCCTTTAGGGCTGTCAAAACAAAGGCAGGCCAATGAAAACACACACACATACACACCATCTCCTTTTTAACGGGCATGTCCTTTTGGCTAAACTTTAGCAATCAGCAGGAGTGATTTTGAGTTGAAACAATAAAAGCTACAGTCTATAAAGTAAACACACAAAGGTCGGAGTTGACGTTTACGGTATGACTTATATGACAGACATGTATACATGTGTGAAAAGCTGTAAAGAAAGTAGTGGCCACATCATGAAAGAATTGTCAAATAAACACACATTAACAGCAGCGTTTTTAGCCTGTAGACAAGTCTGCGGTGTACTGCATGTGGTGCAATTGTATAGATCCAGTAGAAACATAAAGGGGTAGGAGAAGAAAGCTACCACAAACAATTTTCCAACATCCAGCGAGTGCATAGCAGCACCAATGGTATCAGCCTAAATCATATTCTAATTACTGCATGCGGTATATGAGCCACTTGCTACTTCACATTCCACTCGAGGCACTCAGACAGCACAGAGACTGTCCTTAGAAGGCCTTGCAAATTCAGGGCTAGTGACATCATCATTTTCGGCACCACCATCCTCCAGTTTCTATTGTTATTCCATTGTTATTTTCCATCTTGGCCTTTTCTGGATATGTGGAACACCTGATCTTCATTCTCCAGACAGGCTCAGACATGAGGTAAGAAGGGAAAGATCTTAATGATGATGAAAAGGATGAATACCAGGAACATTATTTGACACACAGTTACTTCTATTCATGTAACATGCTTGTAAAATACCTGCAATATATCCAGCACTATGTGAACACCTAAATAGTAATATTTAGGAAGGGACTAGAATTTCATATCTTGGTGGTGTAGTATGTTGAACACTATGTGACAGTAATATATCCTGTCTAGGAGACATTTACATGTTAAATGACTTCCATGATTTCCTTGACATGAATGTCTGTGCCAATTACACTGTTTGTACACTGTCTGTAGTTTTCCATATTGGACATCAAGACCAGTAGTGTTCTTACATCCATCGTAAAACAGGACTTGGCCAACATAGCGTCTAAGCATCCATTGTCTTATAAAACTAATTGTATGGTACTGAAATTCCTGTAACACTAAAAACATCCAAAGCATTTCTCCCATACTGTGGGATAGTGTTGGAGGTTTTGAGGTGAAAAAAAATGTGTCTGTTTCAGAAAGGTTTAAATTTAAATGGCACTGCAATTACTAGAGGAAGAGGAAGGGGAAGCTTGGGCAACTAGTGCACTGCTTGATTCAGTTGGGTTTAGTACAAAACCCTTTGGCAGGCAAGTCCTCGCTGAAACAGGCTTTGTATCTACAGCAGAGCCTTGTTTATCCGGAACTCAGAAATCTGAACTGACCGGGCTACCAAAGAGGTATCGGAACCAAAAATACACCCAAAAGTAAACACCAAACAAACTAAAATAATTCATGCGCAGATTGTTTCACTCTCCAAAACTACTGTTATTTCTTCAATAGTTGCAGTAATTGTTTTTCTATCCTGAGAGCAGGATCAGATAATGACAAAGCAAAACCATCTTTCAAATACTAAAGGCTAAGAGAAAGGACTCTATACCATCCTTTTCCCATTTACCCTCACTTATCCGTCTCCACAGTTCTGTTGCCGCCAAACCCACAGAAGAAGGGAATGCGGAGGGGGGGCTAAGCCATGCCCCTTTTCTGAGCTGCACACTTGCCTGAACAGCTAGTGGATCTAGATTTTGCTGATGATATAGCACTACTTGCATATACTCACCAACAGATGGGGGATATATATCACATATATATATCACACAAACTAGAAAGGACTGCTGTTACACCTAGGCTCAAGGCTCATCAATAATATGAACAATGCACTAATAATCATAGATCATTACCAACTAGAGGAGGTAGACAGCTTTACATATCTTAGGAGCATAATTACTGTGGATTGAGGGATGGCTGAAGATGTCATAGCCAGAATGGGAAAGGCAAGAACAGCATTCAACATCCTAAATAACACCTGGGAAACCCACTAGCACTAGCACTGAAAACTAAACCAAAAACTAAACCAATTTTTTTTATTCAAAACAAATTTACACCAACATACTACAGACATTCATAAACCACTGCCTTCGACGCCTCATAGTCTACTGGCCAGACACCATCACCAACCTGTGGGAATGCACTAGGCAAGAACCCATTGAACTTTAAATTAGAAGGAAAAGGAAGGGGAGCTGGATAGGCCACAAACTCAGAAGACAAAATAAATCAATCACCAAACAGGCATTAAAATGTAACCCTTAAGGCAAGAGAAACAGAGGAAGACCTAGAGTGACGTGGTGAAGTAGCAAAGAACAAGAGGTTAAGGCTTAAGGGGCTGTTAATTGGATCGAAAAAGGGGATGATGTGCTTTTGTCAATGGCCTGTGTTCCTCAGGAAGTACGCAGGCCTAGGAAGACACTTGTCTGTGACCGAGATCCTGGGGGTAGACATTTTTTCAACAAATATTGGACAAATAAATATTCTTTGCAAGCAAGAACACAAACACAAAGTAATTTTGTTTTTATTGTTAAAGAGGTGGTATTATGCTTTTTGGCTTTTCCCCTCTCCTTTATTGAGTTATATATCTTTTTTGTGCATGTAACAGGTTTGCAAAGTGAAAAAGCCCAAAGTCCAGTCCAAAGGGAGTTCCCATCTCCCACAGAAAGCTCTGCTCTGAACTGCCTCAAAACAGCTCGTTTGTAGTCCAGCCCTTCACTTCCTTTACTTGTGGCGTCACAATGAAAACTCGTCATAAAGCTTGCCAAGCGGCTAGCGGTGGTCAGGCACGCCCTCAAACCAAGCTAGTCTGAGCGGAGCCCCTTTGGCTCGACTCAGCTTTGTTTTGGTATCACCGCACCTCCATCAAGGTTCCAAGCGAGCTGAGGGATACTAAAATGTAACGTGAAAACACAACAGACTGCTGATTGGTCAGAGAGAATCGTCACTATTCACTGCATCATCATTGCGTGCGCCAGACAGAGGCCAAGTTTTATATTTTACAGTTTTTGTATGGAATTTAATCACAAAATCCAATTCTGAGTTTTGAGGTGAAGTGATGGCGACAAACAAAAATGTGCTTGAATATTTTCGGAGTTGAGGAGCTCTACAAGTGGCTGCGGGGAAGCCTGTGCCAACCCGGAGGAGTGTGTGAGGCCAGCGGCCCGCTCACAGAGCCCTCTGCTCCCGCCGTCACACAGACCGCTGCAGCAACAACAGCAGAGGTAAACACAACTGGAAGGTTTTCATACCGCTTATATGTCTTTACATTCTGAGGAATGTTGAAACATTTTAACTTAAGAAAGAGAAAGCTGTGTGGATCGCTGATGTGTGTGTCGCATTGAACATTACGTCGCGGCAGTTGTGTGTGGCGTCGCTATGACGGCAAGATACTTACTATCTCTAGGTACTATCTGCAATGGAAAACGGAGCAGGGCCGAGTAGAGTCGAGTCTATCGATCTGCGCTATGGTAGCATTTTTCGGCAAGACAGCATAGATCGTCAGAACACCGGCAACAGTTCAACGTTTAGTCTTAAAAGACGATGCAACTCTGACTCTGTTTGGGCCTGGAAATTCACAATCACAACCTGTAAGTATGCTTTATTGGCTGTGAATTATATTTAAAATAAACACGGCAATGTAACTTTACAGACTGTTCAAGTGCGAAGTTGTTGTAAACGTTGTCTAACACAGCTAAAGTTATAGCTGGTATGGTAAGATGTGGAACAATGATGTTGTGTGGCTGTGAACTTGAGTAACTTACACCATCTGCTAGGTTACGGTCGCAGTCTGAAGCGGCTTTGATTTGGATCACACTGTTTCTTTTTTTTTCTTTTCTTTATTTTTTTTTAATCGCACTGTTTCTTACGACCCGCCCTTCTCTGCTTCTGATTGGCTAGTAGTCCTTACCTGGGAACTGCGCATGTGCAACTCCCAACAAAGATTTTGTACAAGTAAGATGCATCACTCTGTAGCTCAAGAGCGGAACGTACAACGCATAGGGTGAAAAGAAGAACTGCAGCAATGTGCAGTATGAGAAAAATATGGTGTTTTTTTGAAAATTAAACCATGTAAAATTGTTCTGGTACAACCCCTAAATAAGATTTTGAACCTGAAAATGAGCATAATACCACCTCTTTAAATTTGGATTTAAATAATGTGCAATAGGTTAGTTTCACGTCAGCTTAAAGCTGGGTCAAGTTTTTAAATTTAATACTTTGTAGAAGCATTCAGACATATAAGGTCTCATGCAATGGTAGAGATGTAACATCTCTTTCCTATCCATAAACACCAACACAGTGTCTCAGGCCAATCCCTTCTAACCTAAGCTTAAAGCTACCCTTTGTCCTAGCACTTACCCTGAAAGGCATCCAAGTGGCCAGAGATGAGGTGCTCAAGCTCATAGCTGTAGGAGTGAATGTTATGGAGGGTTTCTCTTTTCACAGCAAATTGGTAGCTCTCCTCCATCTTCCGGGTGCAGCAGGACGGACCCTGGTGCTTACAAACCAATAGATCCACATCTAGGAAAGTCAAGCAGAAATAGACATACAAGTAGAAATGTTTAATGACAAACATTTATATACATTATATATTTATATATATATATATTTTTTCCAGTCAGTGGTAACATATACAGTGACACATATAAGTGCAGAAGAATTGAGGTATTTAAGTTTGGATGAGTTATGATAACTGATTAGTGCAAATTATAAATTTTGTAAACAAATGTCATAAATATATATATACATACATACATATGTACATACATAGTGTGAGTATATGTATAGTGTCCTGTGTATGTACATAGATAGGCCATAACTCTACTGGGAGACAGAAGAGGCACCACGGGAGGGTGAGAAAGTAGATCAAGAATTCATCCACGTTTCCTGCTATAAATACTGTCTCCGCAAAATATATAAATATCTTTGGCTCATATGATTGCACACATGTCGTCAAGATATACATTTGTACTTGCATGTAGACTTTATGTCCCATAAACACACAAAAAATACATGCATGCACTAGCGTTTTGCAATGCAAAATTTACTGTCAATCATACACACAGTAATTTGTGTGAAATCACCTTTTAGACTAGTCATTAGCCATAATACTGCAGTTCATAACAACCACATGAAGGCAATGACCTAACTGGAAATACTATGATCCAAAGAACAGCTCAATCAGGCACAATTACATCAGCTGAAACCTCTGAGCTGAGTCCACCCTGCCCTCCCAGTGACACCTGCTTCTCACCATCGCTACATATAGACATTGTCATGACATCACTGAGACTGGTCACAATTAGCATGGGCTCTTAAAATTGTCCTTTCCCACAAATTTCCTTGCACAAATTCACATGCACTGGGACATTTCCATAATGCTGAAGTTTGATATGAAAACTCATTTTACAGAGGGGAGGGCTGGACGGGGGTGGCTGGAGGCAGGTGTTGTAACCAGAGCCTAAAGCATGGCCTGACAGACCGCAAGACCAGTGCCTCACTGTCCAAATCCCTCCATGAAACACAATAGGGTTGCATTCTCAATCTCTCTTTCCCTTTCTGCTCCCTCTCTCCCATTTGCCTGGCATATCCTAGCGAGGCCTGGGTGTCTCTTAATTACCCAGTGAGGCTCCATTTGTTCCCATCCTAGAGCAGACGAGTGAAGTCATAACTGGCTGTCCCGCCCCTTCCAGCGCATTATCTCCATCTCAGTCCACTCTTTTACTGTTGACACTGTCTCCCTGTTGACATTGTTTCCCTGTTGACACCCTTTCTGCAAAGTCCTATCCTGTTTGTTTGTGTGCGCATGTATGTGCGTGTGTGTGTTGAGGAATACTGCTATTTCTGTCGCTTACCTGCTGGACGATCAATGTATAAAGTTTGCATACAATACATGTTTGTTTTGGGCTTACGTCTTCTATATCCCAATGTAAAACCTACCGGGCTTAATAGTGCATTTTTACAAATTTGAGTGTGATAAAAATGAGAAACCCAGTCTGTTTCTACATACAAACCATGGATATTTACAGGTCTAAACATATATTATACTTAAATTAATCAGGGGCAACTCCCATAAAAATAATGGTTACGTAGTTTCTATGTATTTAGTCTAGGTCCAGCTCATCCTTAATATCCTTGCATAAATGACATTAAATCTTTGACCATCAAATATTTAATGACACCCTCCTTTTTAAAACTGTTCACTTTTAATTTCACAGTATTTTAGTGAGAGCAGAGCTCATCACACCCACCTCATCAACTAAAAGAAGCAATCCAAGAACACATTTCAGCTACTTTTTACTGGCTAAGTGCAACTATGCATCTATCCATCAATTCATATCCTTTCAATTTCCACCACCAACAAAAAATAGCAGTGTCTACACACAAGTGGGACCACATCATTGTAGATATTTTAAATATGCCAATTCATGAAACACTATCACAAGCTAAACTTCTTCTCTCAGCAGGACGGTGATTAGGTCTTAATGTGAAATTTTTAGTGCCGTTTATTAGAACCCTAAGTGGTAAAGCAAAATGCTTTATGAATGTGGCTCCTGGAAAGCATACTGTTGGCCACGTGGAAAAGATGTCCCTGTCACATAGTCATTACTCTTTGAAGGTATGATATTGTTTTAATCATGTTGTTAATGTTAATTCTGTTTTAATGTTGTCATTTCACCATATATGGTGTCTGTCCTCTCTCCCCATCTGTCCCTGACCCTGTTCTCCCCACTGGCTGGCTCTTTCTCTCCTTTGTGTTTGTGTGTTATCTGTGATATGAAACTAATATCCAGGGACTCACATTGGAATTCAGCCTGGCCTCTCCGTCCCTTGCGAGTAGCTGCATGGAGTAAGTGATACTCAGAAGGACTTTGGCTGTTAAAGCCACCACTGCAGTCAGGATTGGCTGAATGTGTCACGAATGTACCAGGCTGTTTTCTGGAATCATTAGTAGCCATGTCACTACTTGTGTGTCCAACAACAAACATATTGCTGAGTGCATTCTTTTGTATCTTGAAGTCTTCTATATTGAAAATATTTCACATATCGTTTATTAACAAAAAGCATTATAGTGGCTTCTGCCTGAAGGCTAAACTAAAATATGTATTGAGGACTCCGAGCTGCAGTCTTCCAAGGACTCAAACAGTCATTGAAGTCTACAATGTAAGACATATCTATTAATATCTGACTGCCTGCTTTTTTTTAAGTAACGTGTAATTTTTAACCATACTCCATTTACATTTTCAGTACATGGAATACTGACTATATACACCTCTGAAAGACAGTGACTTCTGCTTGCACTTGTCACCTTTTATTGTTTTATTGAATTAAAGCATTTGGTTTAATGATGGTTCTAAAGAATTTAATGTCAATGTAAAATAAATATCTAAGAATCCCAAATATTTGTATAGATTGTCACCCTATTCCAGTCAAAGTTTAGTAGGCACCTTTCAAAACAGTAACAGTTTTGAACATGTGGACACATTTTTTACTACTCAAGCTCTGACAAATTGCTTGGGGACCATGACTTAACAACAATTTTCAAGTCCTGCTTCAAACATTCATTTGGAATGGTCACTGACTTGACTACAACCAGACATCAACATTGTTGCATTTAAGACATTCTTGTATAGGTTTGATTTTATGTTTTGGGCTTGTAATCTTGCTGGAAAATAAAATTGTGGTTTTAAACTATTTTTATGATCAGAACAAACACTTAATGTCAAACAGTGGATCCAGTGTTTCCCATACGTTCATCTATTTGTGGCGGCCCGCCACAATATCAACGCTGATCGCCACATATTGATTTTCAATTTCTTTTTTACTAGGCATATTTAAAATGGTATTTGATTGCAGAGCGCCGTAGTGCATTCAAGCAGCACATCCTCTCGCTCGTCCCCCTCTCTCTCTCTCCCTCATGAACACCGCTGCACAAATCTGTCCAACACAACGCTGTCGGACGCCCAGCTTAAAAAAAGTTATTAGCAAGCACGTAAGGAGCCTAGCTAATAAGAAGAGCTAAGTTAACGTTAGAATACAGCTGGGTTGTCGAGGTTACCACATTGTTTATAGCTGGTGCCACAGTTACACTGTCATTCTGTGGGAAACACTGGGATCACTTAACAAATCTGAGGTAATACATTCAAAACAATTATGATTAAATACACACGGACTGCTATTGTGTCGCTTTATTTAGCCTAACTACAGCTAGCATGTAAACAAAATGCGTCTACACGTTGACTTTTTGAGTGACACCTTAATTGACCCAATAGAAACTTCCATGCCCTGTTCACGGCCTACAATAGCCAAAGAGTGTCCACGTCGCCAGGAAGTGCCAGTCCCCTTTCTTTTGGTATACACCTACACCAAGCCACCAATTGTGCAGAGGAAGACTGGCGCTTCACACACACCTAACACGTTACAGTAAAAAAATATGCAAGAATATTTTCCAGACATATTTATATATTGTCGAATACAAAAACGCCTCAAGGCGGAATTCCGGCACAGCGCCGGAGAACTTTAAGCTCTGGGTTCCATATGTCACACAAGTGTCCTGTGGTGGCCTAAATATCTTTGTTGTGGAGTTCATCATGATATAGTTTTTGCACTAAAAATTAACTAATACGTTTCTGGAGCTTCCAGATACTGGTGAATTTCACAGACAGCACACCATGATTACTCATGGATTTGTATCATCATTATTATTATTATTATTATTATTATTATTATTATATATGTTGAAAATTATGAGAACAGATAAGTCAAATGTTGGGACTAACCAGCCTGGGATGCAATGAGGGCTACAGTGATACAATGAACAGTATGCAGAATATATGAGTTGACAAATGCAGCTAGTTGGCATGCAATGACCAACTCTTTTAGCAGCATTTGCTATGGTGATTGTATTTTATTTTACACATTTCAAAGTTTATACAAGCTGTGGCTTTTCTTCTGATTTAAAATAACAACTCTTTATTTTACACTTCAATGTGACTTAATATAATCGTCCAAGAAGACTGAATTCTCCAGGCCCTTAGTGATTGCCCAGTGTGTAAGCTACTCATTCTGCATGGCTACACCTTAACACACATTGCACTACAGACCATGTGTCAACTCTGAATCCTAATTCGCTTAATCGTCCTCAGGTGACAAACACCTCTGGAGTAATTTGCCGTATTAAAGCAATGGATCAGGGGTCTTGACTTCTTAGTCACAATCCCTTCAGCAACACCTCAGTGCCCTTCATTGCACAAGTCAAAACTGCTGAGCGGAGAAACTCTACCACTGTATAATTACCCTGCTAACTCACATGCCATTCTCAATAAGTGGTACAACAGTAGCAGAGCTGAATAAAGTATACTGCTGAGAAGATGCTTATGTTATTACCATCCTTTTTAAACTCACTCCCACTCCTGCACTCCAAAATGATCTATATCTCACATCTCCTCAATATGGTATGGCAACTTTGTTTTGATTTGGAATGTGTTGATGACTCGGAGGGCTGCGGTTTCCTGATTCTGCTGTTTTGATATTTTTCTGAGAACAAGAATAACTTTGTTAGAAAGTAGGCAATTAATGCAGTTACCCTTCTCCTGCCTCAGGAAACAGGTTCCTCTTTGATGTTCCCAGATCCACTGAACATACAGGATATTTACTCTATACAGATTGGCAGTATTTTGGATGGACCATGTTGAATGAAAATACATTTCTAAGGGTCTTTGCCGCATACCTGCATTTTTGGACAACCTTGAAACTGAACTGGAATGTTTAGATCCCCCAGACCCCAAGATGAAACTGCCTCCAGTGATTGGCACAAGGCCTAAAGCCAACCCAGAGGGCAGAGGTTGGACAAAGCTTAAAGAGAGAAGTGGATGACTGGTGAGCAGATATATGCAGACCTGATGAAGCAGCATTATACCAGAGGGGTGTCCAGCCACAGACTGACTGAGTAATTATGTTAACATAGATAATCTATTCTCCTTCTCAGAAACCAGTATTCATCTCATGTACTATTTCTTTATCTATAGTGCGAGAAGGTTCATTTTTTCTAGATAGTTATATTACTGGAGAGGTAGATGATATACTTGCAGTCTACTAACCTCATAAAATCACAACCAGATCTACCACAATCACAACCCAGGAGTGTAAGGTAGGACACAATCCACTGAAACACAAGATAGACTTAGGCTGAAAGCCAGTAAGAGTTGTTGTGTAGGAAACAGCTCAGACAGAGCAATCTGGTTCAAACTGGGCAGCTGGTAACTGGTAAGGCTGGAGTGTTTGGAATGGACTGGAGAAAGAACATCCGAGGTGCTTGTCAGTTCAATAATCTGTACGGTGTTTTTTACTTGAAGACACTGTCAGAGATGTTTAAAGGCTTTAGTTTTGTAAAACTAAACTGGAAATGTTCTTATGTGAATTTCACATTAGATTGAAGTAGGAAGTTGACAGATGGCCAGCAAAAGAAAACAGACACGCTCAATGATTTTAAGTGTGTATGGATTAGGTGTGGACCATGTGTATGCTCTCTCAGTGAGAACGGCCAAGTTAAAAAAGGAAACAAAATAACTATACAGCCAATCAAAGACCATGTTGAGCTTTGAGAGCTTGCCAAGGCTTTTGACGCTGTAACTGGTTAAGGATGTGGCGACATGTGATAACACACTGTGTTCCCATTCCCTTGCTATTAACACATGACCCTGCTTGCCTTGTATTCAAAATATGACACTTCTTGTCACTCTAAAATAGCTGTTAATGACTCAGTAAACCAGAGAACGGCAATAGAGTAATATATTGAAAAAAGGGGTTATGTGTGGTGGTATGTACACAATCAGATAAGCCCTGCTCAACGGGATAGTCTTCACTGAGCTGTAAAATAGGTTGATCATATCTGAGGACATTATCCCAGAAGCCAACTGCAGAAGCAGCGTGTCTGCGAACAGCACTGCTAGCCGTCTGCCTTCCAAATGATCTGCCTCCAAAGGGCTATATCAGCACCCCGGAGTAATCTCAATATGGAGTGTTTGGCTGTGTACCACTGTACCAAAGTGGTCATAACTCTTCAAAATAATCACAGGATAAGCAACTTCATGTCACTCATTATCTAAGTTCCCTTGATGCCGGATCTGGCATGGAGATAGTCACTCTTTATAAAGTATAGCCAAGGGAACAAACATTTAATGTCAAAGCAAATATTTTGATAGAAAATGATTTAATACAAGGACATACTACTAGGACATAGTAGTGGTAAAATACTCCAGAGTCTTTTAAGGGTCATTCACTAACACACTTGCAATTAAATGTTAAGTGTTGTTTTTTACTATAAATTCAAATAAAATGCCTTTAAACCACATTGTAGTTTGGGGTGTGGGGTTCACCTATAAAGAATTTTAATTTATAGCCTAAAATTTCTATTCATACTAATTGAGCTATTGCTACATTTATTGCAAGTACTGTATTTTTTTTAAGTACAACCACTGCTTCCCAACATGAGATTACATTGCTCTTAATAATCATAAGACACTATCACTACTTATTGCTCTTTATTAGGATACAAGGATTACATACAAAGAAATATTGCATTAAATATGTACTGTGAAAGTGCAATTGTTTTTGTATAAGATCATATCCAATTGGCCGGCCAAGTGCTCTGCTGCCAAACTCCTGGCGCTTAGTGAGAAATCTGTTCACCACACATGAATGAAACGCAGCACTGTATCCTAAAACAAACATCAGACTGTGAAAAGGGCTGAAGTTTTGCCACTTCAAATTTCGAGAGTTACTTTTGTTGGCATTTGATCTGAGAACTGAAGCAGAGTAGCATAATTGTGTACACACACACATATACACCAAATCTCCTACTCTAACACCCCCTTTCATTGGTCACCGCTTTGAAGACAAGATTGCGCCTGACCCAAAACAACCTCTCTGGGACAAGTACAAATAAAAAGCAAAATAAGATAGAAGCCCAAAATGTACCGGGGAAGCTACAGCAATGTTTGATTAGCTGTGAGGGGAAGGGACAGCAGAGAGGTGGTGGAGTGTAAATGCACAAAAAATGCAGTTCACCACACCTTCTAAACAAACACAAATATTTATATCAATTAATAGTCCAGACCAAGAAGCCTCAGCTTGTATCTGGCTCATATCAGCCCCGTTTTCTAAAAATGTCTATAGATAGAGAGTGGGTCTAAGAAATAAAATATCTTACTGTGATGGGGTTAGAGGTGGGGGAAGAAAACTCATTAAAAGGAAAGAGTATTGCATATCTTTCACAATATACTGCGTGTGTGTATGTTTCTGTTTGCTCACTGTCAGGTAAAAAGCTCAAATGCACGCCAAAGATTCTCATATGTAGCTTCCAATGCACTGCAGAAGTAAAAGCATGTCACGCAAGCCTTGCTCCAGACTGCTAACATCCTCAGAAGACCAAGGTCCTTCCGTTGTCTTTAAGAGCTAACCCTAAACTACTGCTTGTAATGAAATTGACGTCCTCTGTTGCTAGTAGTGACACCCTACTAAACAAACATATCAAGTGGTTTGGATGCACCCGTAGGTATGTTTCCCACACAGCTATCTATTGCTCTTCTCCCTGTTACAGCTTGCAGACTCAGACTGGGCGATACTTAAGCTCCCACCAACCAGCATGTGACACTTTTGCAGCAAGCAATCTGGTCTGTAGTCATTTAGATAGTTGTACATCACATATCAACTGGTATTTGAGTATTTACGAGGAAAAATGCATTTAAATCTTAGATAACCCTGAGGCTAAAAGAATCACAATAAAAGAGAAGGCATTTAAAGTAACTATTAAAAGATTTTAAAGACTGGAGAAAAAATATAATTATAATGCCGACTAAATATACAGATTTGTTGAGTTTTATATGAGTTGCTGTTGAGTTGTTGAAATATATGACAATTGAAATGACCCCACATGAAAGAAATATGACATAATCACTTAAGAGATGAAGTCTCTTACTATGCTTGCAGAATGACTTTCAAGCAAAACTAGCATAGTTGAACCAAAGCCTAAACCCACTCAAAATGTGTTTTGCCTCCAAAACAGATTTGGAACCAATGTTTATCCTCATAAAATAACTTTTCCTCTGAGTGCAGGAGGAAAGCACATTCCACAAAACCTTCAATGCATCTGAAGCTGCTTTCAAGCATCACTCTAACAAAAAATCTAATAGGTGCCAAAAGACTCTATAGGCATATTGTAGGAGTCTGGAGAATCTCTTCTCATAAACTGTGGCTCCTGAGCTGAAGTACATGTCAGCTTAAGGGCCTATACCACCCCAAGTATCTAAAGACTCATGGCCAAAAGGGTTGGTGGTGACTGACTTCTGCAAATTAATCACCTCCCCGTGTTGTGGACACAACACTGTAGCCTCTTTATCCAGAGAGATTAAACCACACCAGACCTCCACATCACAGTAGACTTGTTCTAGCTCAAAAACCCTGTCTCAGCAGCTTTTGGATGCGCTGGGTGGCTTTCTGCCAAAAAAATTTGCTAAATAATTGTTTAAATCTCTCCAAACTGCTGGATTGTAAGATAAGCAGCTGGGTACCATGTGAAGCTGCAAATTGTGGAGTAAATCAAGAGGCTCTGATGCTTTAAACCAGACAGATCAGATATGGGAAACATGTAATATTACATACTAACACAGAGATTTGTGATTCTTGGTGGGTGGAAAAAATCAGGATGCTCAGAATGTACAATGATGGACAGATCCTTGGAATTTGATGAAAAGGGACAGACACATTTCAGATGTTACTTTAAGATCATCTCAGATTTGGCAGTTTACAATACACTTCATCAGAAATAGATATTTTATGGTCAAAACCCTCTAAAAGTCTCTTCAACTAACAGGACTAATACGGGAGAGACAATATGACAAAAGCAAAGGAAGCAATATCTGCAGCCTAGACAGCCTTTCAAACTTTTGCTGCTGTCACTTGATTGGGCTTACTTTTGCTTTTTGGAGACCTCTCACAGTGCATGTGTACTGACCCACGTGTGTTTTTGACAGAAGCACATTATAGTTAGAAGCACTGGACCATAATATATATACACACACAGGGCATATGCTGAAATCGCAATGATTGTAGTCTAACCTAAATGTGTGACTTCTGTCTGCAGATCTATGAGCAAAACATTTGATGTTTGCAGGTACCCTTATCAAAGAAGGCTACTCTTCACTAGAAGCCAAACCCACTGGCTCACCTGTGCCAGGTGTCTCCGGAACGCGGTTCAGCGGTCCGACCTGCCGCAGCTGGAAAGCGGTCCTCACTTCATGACAGCTGTATGCGTCCGCGTCGATCACACTCACCGCAAATACGACCGCTGACAATATCCAAAAGGATCCGCAGGAGTTTACGCGTGGGCATATTCCTCGGGACATTGCCGCATCTCACACCAGGTAGCCTCGTGGATAGCCTACAGTAGTCTGACTGCAAACTGTGTGACAGTGTTGAAAAAGGACGGCACTGAAGTACAATGAAGCGACGATGAGTTTGAACATCTGACAAACGTTTCCGTCTGATTTTCACATTATTGTGATGAGTGTGAGCGCCTCACAGCAGAGGTTTGGGGTCTTCTCTTGGACAGAGGAAAGAGTGGTGTGGGCTACAGCCAGTCTGTACCGCGCTCAGCACTTTGCAGTGATCGGTTGTCTGCATGCATGCCCCTTCCCAAAGCTTTGCGCACACTCCCCTCCCTTTCTGTTTACTTCAGCTAAGTGCCCCAACTAAAACTCACTGCATATGTATGGGGACTGGCAGTGTCAGTATCCTTATTACAAAAAAAAACACTAAACATTTGCCCGTGGTCTTATCAACCTAAACAAAACAAACAAACATTCATTAGGCCTATATATTTTACCCACAGCATTTGCAGCACAATTGAACGTTTTCCTGAGACTTTTTGTGACCCCGAAATTAACTGTTAAGTTTTTTTGTAGTAACTGTGTTACAGCAGAATAACGTAGAACATAACATTACATTAACATTAACCATTTAGATTAGGTAATTTCAATTCCACTGCCCTACTTCTAATCTACAAATTAAAATTGTTTAATTATATCTATGTTTATTTGTTTCTGTAACAGAGCAAAATATAATTTTATAGCCTACTAAAGGAGATACTGACAGTCACTGCTACAAGTAAGAGACCATATGTTAAAAGGGCACTGTGTTGCTATTTGGTTCTTTCTCATGACTTTGTATAATGAGAAAATGGATTGGAAGCCATATACTTTGACAGTTACATATGTATGAGGTGGGATGGGATTAAACAGGACAGGCCATTTTATTTCGTTTTCAGAGTATGGTGATCCTGGAGTTGAAAGTGATTCTCCCTGCAACAGGGAGAATTCTGTGCTTAATGTTGCTGAAATCTGCACAGCAATACTTGATATTGTCATTTGATTTACATTGCCGCCATCTACTGGCGAAAATGTTTAATAAAAAACAAACCATGCAACATTTTTTTTTCCAGACCGATTTCCCTGCCAGAAGTATTGTGCTCTTTTTAGGCTTTGCAGCCTTTGATGTCAAGGTTTACACAGAATGTCTGTGTAGGTAAATAAATATTGGAGAGTCAAAAAATGAAATCAAAAGGTAATTTATCAATTAGTTTCTATTATCCCGATGATATGTTTTTTTTATGATTTACTGCTTAATAACTTAGATTCACTTCAGATTCAAAATGTAACAGCAGTCAACAATCCCTAAGAGGAAGCATTGGAGGGTTTGCCCAATGTGTGAATTCACTTATTAATTATGAGACTATAGACATTACAATGAAAAACCAGACACATTATCTTAATGCAAAAAGCCCACACCCCAGTGTTTTCCAATGTGTTTTCTCATGCAGCATGCCAAGGCCATTTTAGGTGTGTCATGCATTTAATGTGTTTAATTTAGTGATTTTCATTAATTTTGAAAGTCCATCACCACATTTCCAATGTGCTCCATGTTAAATACTACCCTCTCCTGGACAGACACGAAGCTACATCTGTGGACAGCTGCCAAATGTTTATAATAGACTATAATAGAAGAATGCAATCTGTTGTTTTCCTATTTGCTATGTAAATAAATCATTACGTTGTATGAAGTTATTATCATGTGGTCTGGGGGAAGTTGCATTCCTTATCCTCATCTGAACCAAGGGCATAATTTTTATTTCATTTCATTTCATTTCATTTCATTCATAGAGATCTACTACTAATCAAGGTGCTAAAATTATTGTTGTCATCTATGACAGCAGTGCGTTCTTAACAGGTTGCTATTCACATGTATAATACACTTCTACTATATGCAACCTTTTGGCACATCACTCCAGACAAAAGAACATGCTGGCTGTAATTCTGATTACCATACTGAAAGCATTTCAAAGCACAGGATAAAGCTGGGAAATTGTCACATGCTGAAACACCTTTCAGAGCAGCCCTGGTCGAATGATAGCTTATGGACATGCAAACCGTTGAGTGTGTAAGCCCAAGTTATAATGTCAGCTGCTGCCATAAACTTTAAGAACTTAAACAGGGCAGAGATTGACATTAACACTATTGCTATTCTTCCAGTTGTTTGGAAACAAACACGGCAAGACTTGAGAGTTGGTGTTTTAGGAATTAATGAGGGGTAAGGTCACAAAATGACTCCTCATCAATCATCTATCTACTGATATAAAGCATTCCAGTAGAGGGCGATCTTGAGTTACTTTTAGTCTGAGTGTTGGCCTTATCACTGTGATTCTGATTTACCCAAGCGATTCTGTTACTGCAGAGGTAAAACATACCAGTTAATAATCTGGGCAGGGAAGCCACAAGACCCCTATGACAGAAGATCCTGTAGGACAGGCCAAAGCATTCACCAGCACCACTGGCTCTTCTTGTTTGTTTTGCGTAGCATCATCTAGAACAGCTGAGTAGAAGGCTATTTGGACAGGTGTATGCCAGCGCATCTTGACTGAACAGGTAGTCAGTTCAAAGTGGTAAACCTACAAAGGGCGGTCCATTAAATGATTCTGAGGCAAAAAGGTTCTCCTGCTGTATCCTTCCCAACTGTACTAAGTCTGGGCTCAGTCTTCACTTACCTTAAGGAGGCCAGCAGCAATTTGGTTTTGGGACATGGATATAAACTTGCCGGAAAATCAACTATCTGTGTAACTTAAGTTACTGTCAGATTCAACAGCTATGCTATGCATAGTTCCAGCAGGACTAGACCAACAGGGACAAAGCTCTATACAGCCAATTACAAAACTATATATATATATATAGTATATCTATATATATACTCAATATGTGCATGGTGGAAGTCCAATTGAATATCTTGTGTGGTGGTCAGGAAGCATGAAACAGACCAATTTCTCTAATTGTCAAATTGCGCAAAAATATAGTGAACTGTGAACTTTCTCACCTGGTATTAACATCACATTTTGACCTTTGCTTGTGACCTTGAACAAAGTTATTCTCCATTCATTCTGCAGGCACCAAAGACCCCATGTTAATACCAGCATGCTACTGGAGCTTGGGGCAGAAATATATTTGGTGTTTCAACTTTTGGAGCAAAAAGGGCTTACTCATATCGTGGTGTGAATTGCAAGACACTTGTGCCAGCACTAGGGTTGCCAACTGTACCATATTAGCCAGGATGTCCCTTATATTAGGCCTAATTGATTTGTCCCATACGTGACCTCTGTTGTCCCATTTATTGACTACTACACTGATCTATCCAATGACTGATACAGCAAGCTCAGTATACTTTAAATGCAGCTACTGTGAAATTGACAAAATAGTTGCAAGTGAAGCCTCGTACGTGTATCACACTGTCAAACATGGACTTCAGCACCAACTGTCTTGTTAAGCTAAACAGTGTGTTGTTTCATGACTCGAATGCTGTGAAGAAGATGCACTTAAGAACAAAAGCCGAGGTGACCACAATGAATGTTTTACGACCAAAGACTGTGCGGGATATCCTGAATGATCTATCCCCGACTCAAGGTGAGCCTGTGTTTTACCACCGACGTCTCAAACAAGGGAAACAGAAAACTTTTTCCAGTGTGAGTGAGATATTTTTTGTGTCTGATGGAGTACGGTGCAAGTTACTTGACTTTTATGAAAATAGTGATAAAACTGCAAATGGTAGACTATTCATCAAGTTCTGATGAACTGCCTGACAAAGCATGAACTGGGAATAAAACACATCACAAGTGTTTAATAGTAAAGATCCAGCATATAGAAGCTATGTTCTTTTTAGTTTGTCATATCTACATGAAGGGGATAATCTTTTCTAACCGACAGTGCAAGAGTCACAAGTGTTTTGTATTAGACAAATAGTAAAGGTAACAGGTAGTGGTTCAATAAAAGGACTGTGCTAAAGGTACCTGCTGTAAATTATTACTATTTTTAAACCTACCCAATATTTAATTAAGATATTAAGTATCATTATGACAAATTCCTTGAAACAATACACTGTATATTCACACAAAACCATACCCGCACAGCTGCAGCAGGCCACTTTTTGTCCCTTATTTCATATTGACAAAGTTGGCAACACTAGCTAGCACAGCAATGCTGTGGTTGGTCATTGCATTTTACTGACGTTGTACAAGGTAATTTGACACAAACCAGTTACACCTAGCTATGGGAGAATAGCTAATTACTTTAATTACAGCTAGCTAGTAAACTAACCAGAAACTACATCTAAAACTCAAGAGGCAACAACTGTTAACTCTCTGCCATCCGTGACCCTCCTGTAGAGAGGCTGACCCTTTTGACTGGGCTTTCATTTAAAGGTAGCAGTATTACAGAATTGCCCCGACAATATGCATGCATGAAGAGATCAAACGTTCACCTGGACTCATGCTGTAATCTGTCAAAAGGTCGACAGCAAGGGCAGACTGTGTGTACCAGATAACGTTACATTGACTACAGACCCTGATGGACAACAGTGGATATTTAATTAGTTTGATTAAATTATTGCTAAAGACAATTGTTGCTGGATAACCTGGTCCCTACTAAATTCTACACCAATGAGTTTGATTCAAACAATACAGTTTTGGTTGATTTACATTTATTCATTTAGCTGATGCTTTCATCAAAAGCAACTTCTAATTGCTATAAATGTCAGAGGTCGCACGCCTCTGAAGCAACTAGGGATTAAGTCCCTAGCTCAGGGACATGGTATCTCACAGGATTTGAACCGAGGTCTCTCACACCGAAGTCTTGTGTCTTATCCACTGCCCCATTACCAGCAGAAACAAGGAGAAACGTTTTTTTCCTGCTGCGACCAGGTAAGCTATGGTCGTCGTAAGTCAACATAAAATCATAGACTGTATAATAACATTAAAAAATATATATTAAATTAAAAACTGCATCAAACACCCTATTTAGGCGTCCGTTTTGGGCATTACCACTTCTAAGGGCCAAGTTCGGCGCAGACAAAACGTAGCAAAACGGTTTTTTTTCAAGGGAAACAGTGGTTCCCTGAACACCCTGCCGTGTATGCAAGCGCACTGAATTTTCCTGCCTTGTTGTCTTCACATCGACCATGTACTTTTTGTCCTCCCGGGTCAAAATTGACCTGGTCTGGTTTGCCTGGTTTTAAAGCATCCAGTTTAACTTATCACCCAATTCTGTGTTACACCTTCTTAGCCAACTCCATTCCAACTCATTACCACTATTTTTACACTTTTTGGTGGAATTTATGGTCAATATGTCTCATTTATATGAAACTATACCAAATTTATGAGCTAAAAAAAG